TGGCAGGGCTGGGCTTCGGGCGGTGGGGCTGGCAGCTCCAGCCGCCTGGCTTGGCTGGGGGCTTGGGCTGGTGCCCTGCCCGCCAGCTGGGGAATCTGGCTCTGCCGTGGTGGCCGTGGCACTGGCACTGTGTGGGGCGGCTGACAGGTCCAAGCAGCTCCCTGCCCTCTGCACGGGCCGTGCTTCCCCACGGCGGCTGGCGCCGTGCTTTCCCCATCCCAGCACTGTCTCACCCGCACAAGATGCTGACTCCCTCCCGCCCTGCTTCCCCTCTGCCGTGCTCTGCCACGCTCCTGCCCAGCCCCTCGTGCCAGGAGGGTGTCCGATGCCTTCCACACGCCTGGGCCTGCCCTTTGCTCCCCCGTCCCCCCCGTCTCCTGCCCAGCTCTTTGGGCTCCCAGGTGTGAGGCAGCAACAGTGGCAGCCGGGTGTCCCCTTGCCCCCCCGCTCCTCGGCTCTCCCGCCACCTTTGCCACGCAGGTGCACGCCATGGCTGCAGCTGTCGGACCTCTCCCCTGGCTGGCCGGTGCCATGCTCCCTCCCCAGCTGGCCCCCACCCCACTCACTTGCACTGGGAGAACAGAGCTGGGGAGGCTCCGGGCCTGGCTCTGGGGGTCCCTGGCTCCGTCCAGTCCCCCCAAACCTCGCTGCTGGCCCAGCCAGCACCTCCCAGCTGCAGACTTGCAGCCTGGCCGAGGTGCCGCTGTGTCCCGTCAGCCTCTGCCCCAGGCAGGGCTGCTGCCTCCCCGCTGGCAGGATCCAGGCGGGCATCCAGCCCCAGCCGGGATCTGGGACCAGTTTCCTACGGGGGTCTCCGCATGGCGCCCGCCTGCTTGAGGGTGGCTGTGAGTAAGGGCGTGGGAAGGGGCTGCGGTGGCTGTTCCTTCCCCTTTCAGCGGCAGCGGTGGTGACAGGCAGCCTCGTGGCTTGGGCAGCCGGCTGGGATGGAGGATGTCTGCGTGGGTTTTTCCATATTGTTTGTCCTTACAGGGGCTCTGGGTGTAAACGGTGCCCCTGGGCAGACACGGGCTGGGCACGGCACCCAGATGCTCTTGGGGTCCCTGGCAGCCAAAAGTCTTCTCCTGCCTGCTGTGCTGCCCATGCTCATCACCACCCTCCTCTCCCACCAGCAGCAGTGGCTGCCCCGAGCATCCCTCTGCATGTGCCCATGCTGAGGAACGCATGCCTCACCCCAGCTCCCCGGCCCGGCCCTGCACAGGGCTGGGGCTGCCTGCAGGGTTTGTGCTGGCAGTGCCGAGCCTGTCCCTATGGAGTTTCCCGGCCCAGCTCTGAGGCTGACAGTGTTGCCAGACACGGGGGTTTCCCTGCTGCCCCGGCCCTGCCCCTGCTCCCTGCGGAGCCTCCAGAGAGTCACCAGAAAATCCCCCAGGCTGGTGCCAGGAGGAAGCTGGCGAGTGGAGCCATGAGTCAGTGGGAGAGGCCAGGCCGGGGGGTAGAGCTGCGGTCGGCAGCCCCGCACTGGCCACCCAGCTCAAGGATATTCGGGGCCATTGGCCACAGACCCACCGGTGCACCCCGGAGCCAGCCGGGGCCGGGCAAGCACGGGCTTGCCAGGACGGGCTGCACAGTGTGCAGAGCCCTGGCTCTCGGCCCCTCCTGCCATCGCTCTCCTCTGAGCCCTGTCCTGGCCAGCGCTGCTCTGCTCTGCTCGGCCGTGGCTCTGCTCTCAGGGGTGCTGCAGGCAGTGCGGTGCAGTGCGGTGCAGTGCAGTGCAGCGAGGGTGGTTCCGTGGCAATGTGCCCCGGCTGTGGGAGCTGCAGCTCCTGCATGTGGTGGAAACGAGGGATGGGAATAGCATGGGAAAGGCCCAGGGATTTACTACAGTGCTGGGGAGGCTGGAGCCGGATCTGGCCTCCCTGGCTGCACCCCGGAGCCAGCATCAGATGTCCCCTTGCCCGGGCTGTCCTGGGGGTGCATCCTCCCAGTGGTGCTTTTGCATCCAGCTCCAGCACCGGCTCTGTGGGCTGAGGTCCTGGCAGCCTGGAGAGTTGAAGACATGGAGCAGTGCCTGCTCCCTGCACACCCCAGGAGCCGTTGGCTCCAGTGGGGGCCTTGGGGCGCCTCGGCAGAGCCCCATCCTCACCCTGGCTGCTGGCCACGCAGGGAGCACAGGGAGCCGCTGCCTCCTGCCTTGCAAAGAGCTGGGCCATGCACAGGGGTGAGGGGCAGCAGGCTGGACCCCACGGGGAGGGGAGATGGTGGGGGTGGCCTGGCTGTGGGGGTTCCTGGCCTGCGTTGCGCCAGAAGGGGGCTGCATGTGAGCACCGCGGGCTGGACGTGTTTGTCACGCCAGGGCGCAGGACGGCAGCTGCTTGTGGAGCAACTTCCTCTGCCCAGGAACTGGGGCTGCTCTTGCAGGGCTGTGGCATGGAGTGAGGCAACCCCGCGATTTCTCAGCGCCGCTTCCTCCGGGCAGGGCTCGCGCTGCCTGTGAGCTCCCCAGCCCCGGCTGACCATGGCCTCGGGGCTGCATCCCGCTGGCACCAGGCACCCGTCGCTCGGCAGCTCCCCTGCATGCGGCTGGGCTGCAAGTGGGGCCGCAGGACCCCAGCTGGGCGGGGAGTGGTCCAGGGCAGAGCCTGCGCCTGGGGTGAGCCCCCTCAGTGAGCCTGTCTGCCCCACGTGGGTGATGCTCCCCTGGGGCTGAGCCCTCTCTTGGGCCTCGGGGCTCCTCTGCAAGGGCACAAGGGAGCACGGCCCCTTTCCTCTCACTGTCCCCCACCCTTGCTGGACTCCAGTGTAACTCAGGCAGAGCCCAGGGTGATGCATTGCTGGGGGTGGCTGCAGGGGCACAGCCCAGGCTTAGAGAGAGCTGGGGAAGGGGGACCCATTCTGGGACCTGTGTCTTGGGCAGCATCGCTGGGCTGCACCGGCCCTCCCACCTCCCCCAGCTGACGCTGCACCTTTCTCTCTGCTCTGCCATCTGTTTTCCTCTCGCTCCGCATCCCTGTTTGCTTTCCCCTTCACCACTCCTGTTCCCACAAGCGTCGGCACTTTGGGACAAGCAGGAAAACACTATCCCATGGCGAGGTTTGTGCTATGCTGGGTGGGAACCTGATTCAGCAGCACCCTGTGGAGCAGCCGGTGGTGAGGACGGGGAACCTCCATATCCCATGGGCCCCGCTGGAGTGTCCTCGGGCACGGGGCTGCTCCCAGGCAGGTGCTGCCCCCGGTCCCACAGGGCTCTGCCGGGCAGCTGCTGGTGACTGGGCTGAGAGGCACCCGTGGGGCGATGAGACATGGGGACCTCCTATGCCGGGAACGCTCTGCCCCACCAGGGTGACACAGCCGGGGTGGGGGACAGGGGCACAGACACTGTGTCCCGATGAGGGTCCGAGCTCTGGTGTCCAGCTCCCGGGCAGTTGGGCTGCAGGCGCTGGGGGTCTGGGCAGGGGCTCTCTTGCCGGCTCTGCCCACGCGACCCCGGTGCCTACCCAGGCCCCTGTGGGTCTGGCTCTGGTGGCATTGGCCCTCAGCCGGCTGAGCTCAGTGTCGGCCGATGTGGCAACACCGCTGCAGGGTCCCAAGTGCCCAGCTGGCCCCCCAGCCTCCACGACCCCCTGCTGTCCCTGCTGCCACCCTGGGCCTGGGCCAGCAGGGCAATGCCCATCACTGCCGGCTGCTGCGGGGCAGCCCCAGGGCAGCCAGGCTGTGTCGTGCCCCGTGCCCTGGCCCATCCTTGTGCCTTGTGTAGCTGTGGGACCCAGTGTGTTTAGTAAACAAGGTGATGAAACAGTTAAGGCAACGGAGGAGCCTGAGTGTGCCTTTCGTCACCATGGGAAGGGAGCGTGAGTCTGCAGCTGAGGGGTCTGAGGGTGACTCACTGCCCTCCCCGCTGCATAAATAGGAGTGGGAGCCCGGCGGCACCCAGAGCGAGCGGCAGGGACACGGCACAGCCACAGCCCTCCTGCTACCGCTGTGCCATGGCACTCATCCTCCTGGCCCCGCTCGCCATGGGGCTACTGGCCCTCTCCTGCTGCGCGGCCCCTCTCCAGAGCAAGCCGCAGGCGGTTGTCACCTTCCCGGGAGAGCTGGTCAGCACCCTGTCGGACCTGGAGCTGGCGGAGGTGAGGGGAGTGCGGCCCCACGGCTCCCTCCCGGCACCCAGGGCCCTGAGGGGCTCCCGGGGCGGCAGCACGGGCCTGCAGACTGAGCTCAGGGGCTGCCTGTCTCCCTGTGCCCCGGGAGGTGCCCAGGCTGGGGTCGGGCACTGGGGGGGTGCAGTGCCCAGGAGTGCCCGAGCACCCTCCTGCCTGACTCGGCCCCTCCGGCTGCCTTTCCTCCCCAGAGCTACCTGCTGCGGTTCGGCTACACCACAGACGCAGAGGCAAGGACGGGCAGCAAGCACGTGTCCCTGGCCAAGGCACTGCGCAAGATGCAGAAGCAGCTGGGCCTGGAGGAGACGGGGGAGCTGGATGCCAGCACGCTGGAGGCTATGCGAGCCCCCCGCTGCGGTGTCCCTGACGTGGGAGCCTTCCTCACCTTCGAGGGGGACCTCAAGTGGGACCACATGGACCTGACGTACCGGTGAGTCTCTGCCCCAGGAGATGGAGCCCATGGAGCAACAGTCACCTGGGGGATGGAGACAGGCGCAAGGGCCCAGGCAGGGTGGCAGTCTCATCTCAGCCCACTGGCCGTGCCTCTGCACTGCCGGCACAGCTGGGTCTTGGTGCAGCCAGGTCCAAGCTGGCACAGCAGCAGCATCTGCTCCCCGGTGCCTGGGAGAGCATCTGAGCCCTGGCCTGAGGGTGGTGGCCAGCTGCCCTGCCTGGCCGTGCCAGCGCTGCTGTCCCTTCGCAGGGCGGGGGCACATCCCCGCCGTGCACCCAGAGCAGGATCACTCCTGCAGCAAGAGCCAGGACCTGGCAGTGCTGACCGTCCCGCTCCCCCCGGCAGGGTGATGAACTACTCCCCTGACCTGGACCGTGCCGTGATCGATGACGCCTTCAAGCGGGCGTTCAAAGTGTGGAGCGACGTGACCCCCCTCACCTTCACCCAGATATACAGCGGCGAGGCAGACATCATGATCATGTTTGGCAGCCAAGGTGACGTCCCACAGGCAGGCGGGGAGCTGGGAACCAGCTCAGCCGCGGGGAGAAGGCTGGTGATGTGCCCTGCCCGCAGGACCATCACCCCACATCTCCCCGGGGCCGTGTCCCCACGTGCCCAGGGTCCCTCTGCCCCTGCATGTGCCAACAGGCACGTGTGTGTGCAAGCACACAGGGGGTGCGCAGGGCTCGGGTGCTCAGGGTCCATGCATGCGCTGGGGCACAGGGGCTCCTCTGGTGGGGCTGGCCCTGAGCGTGTTTGTCCCCGCAGAGCACGGGGATGGGTACCCCTTCGACGGCAAGGACGGGCTCTTGGCCCATGCCTTTCCCCCAGGCCTGGGGATCCAGGGCGATGCCCACTTTGATGACGACGAGTTCTGGACACTGGGAACTGGCTTAGGTAAGGGCAAGGCCTGGTGGGTTGTGGGGAGCCAATGGTGCCTGCCCGAGCCCTGTCGCTGAGCCGCTCCTCTCCCGAGCAGTAGTGAAGACCCGCCATGGGAATGCCAACGGGGCCAACTGCCACTTCCCCTTCATCTTCGAGGGCCGTTCCTACTCCCGGTGCATCACAGAGGGGCGCACGGACGGGCTGCCCTGGTGTGCCACGACCGCCAGCTATGACCGGGACAAGAAATATGGCTTCTGTCCCAGTGAACGTGAGTAGCAGCAGCTGCAGCCCCTGCCCAGCCCCACGGGTGCCCGGGGCTGTCCTCATCCCTCCTCGCCTTGCAGTTCTCTACACCAACGGCGGCAACAGTGACGGGTCCCCCTGTGTCTTCCCCTTCGTCTTCGACGGCACCTCCTACAACACCTGCACCACGGACGGGCGATCCGATGGCTACCGCTGGTGTGCCACCACCGCCAACTTCGACCAGGACAAGAAATACGGCTTCTGCCCCAACCGAGGTGCGAGCGGGGAGGGGGTGTGTGGGGAGGCCAGTCCCCAGCCATCGTGCACAAGGTGGGCACCCGAGGGGTCTTGGGGCTGTCCCGGGGGCCGGGGCCAGCCCCACTGATGCTGCACTGCAGACACAGCGGTGATTGGCGGCAACTCCCAGGGGGACCCCTGCGTCTTCCCCTTCACCTTCCTGGGGCAGTCCTACAGCACCTGCACCAGCCAGGGCCGGCAGGACGGCAAGCTCTGGTGTGCCACCACCAGCAACTACGACACCGACAAGAAGTGGGGCTTCTGCCCAGACAGAGGTACCAGCCCCCCTGCCCGCACCCTCCGGCCCCACACTGTGCCGCACTGGCGTGGTCCCCACGGGGGTCGTGGTCCCCGGCTGCCGTGTCCTGTCCCACCAGGTGCTGAGGCCAGTGCTTTCCCCCAGGTTACAGCATCTTCCTGGTGGCTGCCCACGAGTTTGGGCACTCACTGGGGCTTGACCACTCCAGCGTGCGCGAGGCTCTGATGTACCCCATGTACAGCTACGTCCAGGACTTCCAGCTGGACCCAGATGATGTCCAGGGCATCCAGTACCTCTACGGTGAGCAGCTGCGCTACAGCTGGGCATGCCGGGGGTCCCGTGGCACTGGGCCAGCCCCCAGCCTCACGCCCTCCCCTGTATTTGCTCAGGTCGTGGCTCTGGCCCCGCGCCCACCGCCCCTGCGCCCGTGCCCACTGAGGAGCCCCAGCCCATGCCCACGGAGGCTGGCAGCACCTCCACCACCGAGGAGGAGGTGGAGGAGGAGACGCAAGAGCCCACGGCCGAGCCCATTCCCGTGGACCCTAGCCAAGACGCTTGCATGGAGAAGAACTTCGATGCCATCACAGAGATCAACGGGGAGCTGCATTTCTTCAAGGACGGGTGAGCGGCAGTGCCCGGTGCCTCCTGCCCTGGCGAGTGCTGGGGTGATGAGGGGGCATGGGGGGACATTGGGCTGTGCTGGGGGCATGGGGGGACATGGGGCTGTGCCAGGCTGAGGTTACCAGGACGACTGACCTTCCCCAACAGGAAATACTGGACCCTCTCATCCTTCTGGAAGTCGGGCATCCAGGGTGCCTTCTCTGTCGCAGACACCTGGCCTGGCCTCCCGGCTGTCATCGACGCCGCTTTCCAGGACGTGCTCACCAAGAGGGTCTTCTTCTTCGCCGGTGAGCTCTGCCCCTGCCGCCCTTGGCCCCGGTGCTGCCGGGCATCATGAGGAGCCCACTCCTGCCCTGGCGCCCTTGGGGCTGGCTGACGCCCATGCTCTCTCCTGGCTGCAGGTCGGCAGTTCTGGGTGTTTTCTGGCAAGAACGTGCTGGGCCCCCGGGGGATCGAGAAGCTGGGCATTGGGAAGGAAGCCGGCCGCATCTCGGGGGCCCTGCAGCGGGGCCGTGGCAAAGTGCTGCTCTTCAGTGGGGAGAGCTACTGGAGGTGAGCGGGTCTGGACGGCTGCAGTGGCACCTGCAGGCTCCTCCCGCAAGGGGCTGGGGCGGAGGGCTCCTGGCAGCCCTCAGCACAGCTGTGCTCTCCTCGCAGGCTGGACGTGAAGGTCCAGAGGGTGGACAAGGGCTACCCCCGTGCCACCGATGATGTCTTCACTGGCGTCCCCCTTGACGCGCGCAATGTCTTCCTCTACCAAGGTGAGCAGGGACCTGGCGGGTGGGGGCCGTGCCGTCCCCCCCAGGCTGCCCCAAGCCGCCTGCGGGCAGCGGCTGCATCACCCCGGTGCTGGGCTGGGGATGCTTGTGAGCGTGGGGAATGGCCCTGGGGCAGTGCACGCCATCAGCCCCGGCAGGTCCCTGTGGTGGGGCTGGCTGGGCCCTGGCGAGGGCCATCTGCCGGGGCCAGATCCCCACGTGCCCATGCCGCTCGGGCGGCTGCCAGGACGGGTCCTTGCACAGCCAGCCTCTTGCTGACCCGCCATTCCCTCCGCCTCCCTCCTCGCCCAGACAAGTACCACTTCTGCCGGGGCAGCTTCTACTGGAGAATGACACCACGCTACCAGGTGGACCGGGTGGGCTACGTCAAGTACGACATCCTGCAGTGCCCCCAGCAGTGAAGACCCGACCACCGCCCATCTCTGGCCCGCACGCTGCTCCCTGCCCACCTCTCCCAACCCCTCGGCTCCCGTCTGGCAGCCTGACTCGCCGGGGGCCGCGCAGCCTTGCGGCCATGGGGCAGCCCCTGCCGAGGTGGGGGCTTTGCCGTCCCCTGGGCAGGAAGGGGCAGGGAGTCCTGGGGTCGCCCCTCAGGAGCTGCCCAGCCCGGGGAGCCCCGGCTGGGGAGCAGGACTCTCGCCACAGCTGGCACCGTGCCGCCCCTGCCCGCGCCGGCTCCGCCGCGCAGAGGCGTTTGCCTGGCGCAAACCGCACATGGATTTGTAACGACTTTGTCTTTTTCCTGAGCCAGCCATACCGGGTCGGGCCGGGCTCTGCTGGGAGCTGGCGCCCAGGGACTCGGCCAGGCCAGGGACGCGGGGCTCTGCCAACCTCCATCTGCCATTTTTTAATAAAGACAATCCTTCGGATACGGCCTCCGAGTGCTCCGTCTGCCGGCTGGGGATGTGGTGTGGTGAACCCCCCAAGGTGTGGGGTGCCAGCATCGGTGGGGAAGGGAGTGGTGGGAGAGGGGGCTGCAGCCAAGCCCCCCTTCTGCTGAGGGCTCCGGGATCCCTAAGGTACAGCGGGTCCCACCGGGGAGGACGTCCCTGGGTCCCCACATCCTCCGCCACCTGCCCCACGCCATGCGCAGCCCCCCG